TTTGATTTGATTCGATTTGAAAAAATCAAATCAAATTCAAATTGCTTAAATATTTGATTTGATTCGATTTTGAGGAATCCTAGTTATAAGTATATTGTTGTCAGCTAAATATTTACTATTGAAAGTTGATCTACAAAGAATTATCAAATAATCTACAAAAGTTACTGGAATTAATTTTATATCAATCACAAATTAAAAGATCTACATAATTTTGGATCTATAAGATTATTAGAATTCTTAGGATTTACCTGATAAGCCTTATAAGTTGAATAATTGTTATAACACTTCCATTATTTTAATTATTATTGTTATTTTTATTATTTTTATTATTATTATTATATTTATTATATCTGTTATTATTATTATTATTATATTAGCATTTGTAGCTATAAATTTAATTAGTTTATAGCGTAGCAACTAGCCTGTTTGTCTCTTAAAATCACTAGAAATTGACTTATCAAATCCTATCTTTTACATAATCTAAAAGTTACTTATTTATATAAAATATATTACATAAAAAAATAAAACTAATATATTATATATATATATCTAACAAATATATCTAATATATTGAATATGTCTAATTTATCAATTATGTCTAATATGTTAGAAATGTTAGATATATCAAAAATGTAAGATATGTCAGATTTGTCAAATTGGTTGATTATCTGCATCACATATACTGTGTAATATTTATCTATTCACATTACATTATACATTTTAATTTATCAGTCATAATTTTTCTATTATTTTATAAAGGAATTGTAAATAAAATAAAGATATATATTACCAGTTCAAGAAATCAAGCTTTTTGAAATACTTATTACTTAAATGGTAATTATGTTTAATTATGATTTCAATCAATTATTATGCAAAATTCTATATAAAAACTTATAATTATTTTAATTTTTAGTTAAAATACATTATAAAATTTATTATAAATTTACTATTTTTAAATAAAATTTTATTTTTAATAATTAAAATATTAAATATATACAAAATTTTCAACTTTAAATTTATAAATAAATAATATTTAAATATATAAATAAATATTTTAAATATAAATTTATATATTTTGTAAAGTTTTTATAATAATATAAAAATAATTAAAAATTAAAAATTTTAGCTTTTATAAAAAAAATACTTTTATTAAAAAATTTTCAAAACTTTGATCTTAAATTAATGCAAAAGGTTACTAATTAATATAATTTTTTTTTTTGATTTTACTTAAAAAATATCATAAATTTTATTATAAAAATATTATTGATTTAATAATTAATTTTTAATATATTTAAAATTAACTTTAAAGTGTAAGTAAAATTCCTTCTAAATTTGAAAGGAAAACCATTGAAGGAATAAGTCAAATAAAATGGTATATACTTCATAATAAAGACTTGCAAGAATAAAATACTATTATAAATTCAGACTTTATTACCTATAAAATTAATCTTTTAGCTAATAATAATAATACTGATTAATTTTATAATACAATATAAAAAGAAAATTTAATAAATAAAGTAATAGACTTTAATAATTTTTGTTTACCTAATTTATTATAATTAAACTATTTATAAAAATTTATTTATGTAATTACAAACTGTTATTATATTTAACTACTCTATACAGTGTTACTAAATAAATATTTTTATAAAAATTATAAATTTTAAATAAAATAAAGTTATAAAAAAATGAAATAAAAATATTTTTATGTTTATAAATAGATTTTAATAAATTATATATAATTAATTTAATTACTTACTTAATTCATTATTTTTAATATTTAAAGTTTCTATTAAATTAAAATAAATATTAAAATATTATTTATTTTAAAATTTAATAAATATTATAATAATTACCAATACTTTGACTAATAGTTTCTAAATTTTTAATTTTAAAATTTAAAATTTTATTTATATTTTCAGTAAAATCAAGTAAATGACTTGTATGATATGCTTCTGAATGAGATTCAACAATAATTTTATTATTATCAGTATTATTATCTTGTTTTTGATTTAATATTTTATCTGCTTTATAAAATTCTATAATAATATCTATTGAATTTTTATCAAAATCTTTAGTTATAATATTTTTATACCAATTTTTAATAATCTTTTTAATTTTAGAAGCAATTGGTCTTTTTAATGGATTTTCATTCCAACAATTTTTCATTAAATTAATATAACATTGAGGAGTATTTTTAATAATTTGAGGACGTTTATCTTTACAAATATTTAAACTAAGTTGAAAATCATGAGCTTCATTATTAAATGGTGGAACTTCAGATATTAATTCCCACATAATCATAGAAAAACTATATATATCACTAGCTAAAGTATAAGGTTGACCTCTTAAAATTTCAGGTGCTACCAATGGTAAAACACCATAAATTTCATTTTTTTTAGATAATTGAAAATATTCGACAGGTTTACATAATCCTAAATCACTAATAGATAAGATTTTACCTCTAATATTTAAAATATTACCATGATGAAAATCACAATGAATAAGTTTTTTTTGATGTATTTCATCAAGTCCACTAATAATATT